CCCCCGCCGGACCCCCAGCTCGGCAACTGGTGCCTCCTGAGTCGGCCGGGGCGGGGGCACCTGGGGTCCTGAATTGAATACAACCCATTTCGCATGCCCCTACCATTTAGCCCAGTATCCTGTCTTCTACAGTGGCAGTAATAGATGCTTTAGAGCAGGGCCCATGGGCTAGATCCTAAAGCCTGAGAGTCAGATTCAGCCTGTAAAGTTTCAATCCAGTCTGCATATTACTAGGGGTGCATTGATCCTAAGCTGTTTAATCTGTTCTGCGTTTTGCTAATGGCATGCCCATCCCCTTTGTCTGTTTTAGCAAGCTGCTCCAGACTTCCTAGAGGGCTGCTCTCCCTCACAAGCCTCTGCTCACTGTCCCTGGAGTGGCAGAGAGAAGCAGTGGCCCATGAGCTGTTCCCCATGCTAGTAAAAAGCTGCCAACCTTTGCTGTAGCGGTAAAGTATATGAACAGTGTGTTGAGAGCAGTGATTTTCAATCATGGTGCCTTGAGATGGCATTTTTTCCATTTTGCTTTCAGTTCTCTCCTTAATGGCACCCCACATTTTATTGACTTTTTTGAATGCCACTATACATTGAGCTGTTGTTTTTAAAGAACTGTCTACAGTGACTCCAATGTCTCTTTCCTGAGTCATAACAGCCACTTCAGAAAATTTCTCTCTTACTTCTTGTCTGGGTGAAGGATTTGCCCAGTCTGCGTGAGGATCGGAGTTTCTCATTATTATAATTTGTCCCACTTTTGCAATTTCTCTAAGTAATCTCCCTTAACGTTTTTCTAATCACCTTCACCCTCCTGATCAGGTGGTTGGTAGTATAATCCTAGTCCTATGTTCCTTTTAATTAAGTACAGAATTTCTACCCACAGAAGTTCTATGGTAGATTCCCTTTAAGATAAGAGTTTTATGCTGCTACTGTCTATACTATCCTTAACTTACAGCACAACTCCCCCACTTACACTTCTTACTCTGCCTTTCCTATGTAGTTTGTAATTGGGTATAACAATATCTCATTTATTATCACTTTTCTACCAGGTCTTTGAGATGCCTATTATGTCAAAATCATCTTTTAATACCAGGTATTCTAGGTCATCTATCTTATATTGTAGGCTTCTAGTATTTGTATAGAAGTACATACAGGCAGTCCTTGGACTTATGACAATTAGTTCCTGAAAACTACATCCTAAGTTGAAACATTGTAACTTGGAACTGATTTTCTCATAGGAACAATGTAATAAATGGGGGATTGGTTCCTGAATCAAGGCCTAATACCCTATTTTCACCAAAAATAACCCAGAATTTTGTACTCAATCAATTATAGATGAGTAATATAGCTACATTAATATATTTATATTGTAAATAGCAATCATATTGATATAGAAGGAGTTCTTTGAAGGACTCTTGGTTGGACTTTTTGAAGGGTTCTTGGATGGAGTCTTCTCAGGAGTCTTGACTGCAGGTTTTTCTGGAGCCTTGTCTGCTTTCTTAAAGAAAGTGTCCAAGGAAGTTTGAACAGATGTTTTCTAGGGAGATGGGCAACGCAGCAAACTTGTTTTCTGGCATGGCGTGATGTGGCGTGAGATCAAGCATTGTAAAGTCGAAACTGATGTCAGAAAGTCAAAACAGGGTGTCAGTTTATAAAAATTGTAAGTGCTGTTCATTGTAACTGAAAACGTCTGAAGTTGAGGACTTCCTGTACTCATTTTGTCCTAGCTCAGTTGCCTGCTACTGCATGTGTTATTTGACTGAGACTCTAACTTTTCTGGCTTATCTTCACCATTGTCTACAGCAGTGGTCCTCCACTGGGGTGTCACAGCACACTGGGGTGCCTTGATATCCTTTTAGGAGTGCCACAGAATGCCATGCAATGTTAGCACTGTTAGGTGTGTAAACATGTTTCACAAGATAAACTCAACAATTTCAAATAATAACCCATAGTCCTAAAAAAAAATATGATCTGTTGCGGTCTTCCTGTGTTCTTTGCAATAGAAAAATTGCTGTATTATTTTCCTGTAGCCAAAAAATGAGTGAAAACTAAGAGCTGGCATTTTCCGAGGGGTGCCTTGATTAAGAAAAAGGTTGAGAACTACTGGTCTAGTCACACTTCCTACTTCCCTACTAACCTTTCTAATATATGTTCTCTTCTGACTTAGATAAGTAAAGTATATTCCTCTTGGAATATATACCTTTTAATAACAGTATGGGATAGGATGTTTCTGCATAAAAAATAAAGAAACATCTAAGGAATCTATGTCTTTCTCTAACAGAATTCAGCCGTAGGTCTTACTAGCGTGCAGTGACGTTAAAGTGTGTAAATTGCATTACAAATTCCATTGCACCATCTGGACTTTCATTTGTCTCCTTGCAGATATAATAAAATTATAATCATTTTCTTATTCATTTTTTAAAGGAAGCAAGGAATTCATGAATCAGTTTTGCTAAATATCAGAAGGCAAGACTCATGATAGCTACAATAAATCCGTTAAGAAACTGGGTATGCTGTGGGGAAGTTAGGTGTACACAAAGTATATAATAATGTTATAAATCAGGAATGAATTCTTCATTCCTGACCTTTCTTACTTACTTTTCTTGAGGGTTAAGCCTTAACCCTTAAAATATTTATACAACTGTACTGTGTAGGTATGTTGTTTCATTGACTTAAATGGAACTCTCATCTATTAAGAATAATAACTCTTATCTATTAAGAAGCGTATTATTAGGATCTTGAACTGTAAACTGTTACTGTGGCTAGGACTGTGTTTAGGCTTGTAGCTTTGTGTGTTGGGGGAGGAGAAACACACTGCCAGGTCTACAGGAATAGAATCAGATGCAAAGGAAGGCACCTATATAAATTCATTCTGATTTTTGTAGGCACTGACTCCTAGAAGCTCTCATTGCTTTCAGTCAGAGGTATTTTTAAATACAAAGATCAAACTACTTTTAAGTGTCTAAATATATGTTTCCAGATGTACTTTTATGCTCTTCAACTTGAAAAATTGAAACCATAAGTAATGATAATATAGACTAGATTTTGTATTTTGCCTATGTTATATACATTCAGCAAAAAAGGCAGAATCAAGAGCAGAAAAATAGCATAATTACTCTATCCTAGTCTTACCATCCATTCAGGAAAATGAAGTTGATGCTATGTGTCCTCTCCGTTTAGACGGGAATCCCTGATGGTGATTGTAGTTCAATAGTTCAGCCAATCAGAGAACAAAATCTGTGTTCTATGGAAAATTTCAGTACAACATTTATTTTTATTCTAAAAAGCTGACCTTTATTGCAGAACAGAAATTCCCCCACCAATATTGATTCAGAAACATTGAAACTTTTCATTTTGATAATAATGAGTCCTTATATTTAGATAACGTTAAAATAGTATGACATAAACAAATATTTATTATATATATTGCTAAAATCACTATTTTAATAGAGAAGTTAAACAAAAATTGAAAAAATAATGCATGTAGAACATCATAACATCAGGAGCTAATAGCACTAGTCCAATTGACACAGCTAGAAATGAACTGGTACATTTCTTAAAATATAGAGAGTAATAAAAATCAAAGACTGTCTGATTTATAGCAAGATCATGGAAATGGCGTGAAATTGCATTTCCAAAGGAAAACAGACAGGCAAACATATAAAGTAGCTAAACTGGGGTAACTAAAACGGTGAATTTTTTACATGATTTATTCTCAAAGACTGCAATTTATGGCATCCCCATTACATAGTACCACTATTTTATCAACAGTTGCAGTTATAATCTAGTCTTAGATTGGCCAGGTACATTTCTTTAGATGGTTTGCAATCATGATAGTAAAGTTCTGACTTCAGAAGTTCAAGATTGGAAATTAAGACCTAGCACTTTATAACAGGAACATAAATTAGAGGTCTTGACCTTTCCACCTTAAGTCACATGAATAAAACTTACTATAATCACTGGTAGGTGCCTTAAAATCATTGATTGTGCTCGTTTAAGATGCTTAAAACTACTTTTGAAGGGTGTTTTATATCTTAATAGATACTGCTTTGCATTCTGCTAAGGAAAGTCCAACTAGTTTTGTTTCCCCTTGGTTGTTGAGAGAGAAACATTCTAAACTGGAAAAAAAAGCAATTGCATAAGGATTTCTTGGTCACTAGGTCAGATGGAGGGAGAGAATCTTTTCAAACTAGATTCCCTGATGAATAGTGAAAAATAACTGGAACATTTGCTATATTATTTCAAATGAGTTATTGTAAATAAGATAAACCTAATGTCTTTTCTTATTATTGGATTAAGCATTACAGATGTGAAACACTAAAGCTCAGAAGAAAATGCATAGAGAGGCAGCTTTAGACCTGTGGAGCCCAAGCAGATGCTAAGGTGAGAGCCTCTTTCCCACCTGCACATTGGATGACTACATAGATATTACCTAACAGCCTCATGCCATTCCCCATGACCTGAGTCCTGCCATGATTCCCCAACCCTAATGTTGGTTCTGGATGTGTACAAAGCAAAGACTAAGACTGACAGTTTGAAAGTATATAAATAGCAAGTACACTTATCTTAAAATGTCAGCACTTTCCTGTACATAGTTGTTTATGTACTACATTAAAATGTATATATGAATGCAACAGGCTGTTGATAAACAACTTGTGGGTTTAAACAACTTGTTTTAACAATAACATTTAGCTGAAACGAAGTGGAGGCAATATAGACAATCAAAAGGAAAACTCCAGAATGACTAGTGTTTACTGGAAGTGTTAAAGTTTAGATAGAAATAAACTACCTGTTCTAACAGAAATGATAACAAAAGTATATAAAATGTTAAATGGTTGAGTTTCTCAAACTTTTCCCCTATCCCATTTGTATGACTCTCTAACAGCTTCTCTCAGTCATAAGTTTGATTAAAGGCTACAAAAAAAAGATGCTGCTTAGATGGAGGTAATAGGTTCTGATAAAGCAGGACCTTCCTCCTGTGTACTTTATATGCCAGACTGATTTTTATTATTGCTATCTGGGGAAATTAAACCAAAAGACCCAGCTAGACAAAGCCTTGGCTAGGATGATATAGGTGGGAATGGTCCTGCTTTGAGCAGGAGGTTGAACTAGATGTCTTCCTCAGGTCCCTTTCAACCCTACTTTTCTATGATCCTATCATTCACAAATCTTTAACACATGTATTCACATTTTTAATAAATTACGCCCAGCTGGCATGATTTAAATCAACAATATTTTTTTCATAAAAAATCAATAAGAAATAAGGACATTAAAAAGGAATAAGACATAACAATAAGATAGTACATTTCAATGTACTAAAAACAGTTTTGCTGTTTGCTTACTTTTTAGTAATGTTTAGAGGAAAAAACTTAAGTTTAGGTGGGTGGTGCAGGTTGTACTCTAGAATAGGTGTGTCAAACTCACCTAGGTTCCTAAGACAGATCCAGATTGTGAGGCTGGATCTGGACCCACCTCCAATGGCAGGGTGAGCAGCATCAGGGACCTGCAGGGGATTAATGCAACTCTTGTTTGTTCCTCCACCACTAACTCCTCCTCCACCACTCTAGCCCCAGCAGGGCTCCACACCCCAGGCTTTAGTGTTGGGCCCCACCCCCAAATTGCAAGGCCCTTCTAGGAGTCTGATGGACCAGATGATACAGCCATGAAGGCCATATGTCTGACGCTTCTGCTCTAGAATCTCTTAAACTTCTAAACAACATCATATTGGGTTTTATATAAGACATAGAATATTCTAATAAAGTAATGTTTTGGGAAGTAACCAGTCTCCAATGAGAATATACTTTCTCTCTTTCAGCAAAGTTTGTTATCTGCTGCACAATATTTATTTTCATAAATAAAACGAGCTAAAATGTTGAATATGTTTTTTCTTTCCTCATGGTTTCCCAGCTTGATTGTTTTACTTTAAGCTCTCCAGTACTCCCCATCCTGCTGATTATATAAAGGCATGTTGTGAATATACTTTTTATTGACCTTTCATAACTCAGTCTTATTTCTACCTCTTTGCTCAAACATTCTAGGGTCATCAGTAGCTCATGGAAATTATTACTTGGAAATGTGCTTGTTACCTAAAATTATTTTATTTTTCCGTATGTTTTCATTATACATTTGACTCAATATTTTTTTTGTTTATGCTTCCTGAGACACTGTTGATTAATTTCTTTATGATTACAATGAAATCATTTATTTGTGCTGTCTTTCAGAAACCTTCACAAGTTTGAAAGAGGACACAGGTGAGCACACAGGCTTGCAGTTTCACAAGTTACAGTAGGGTAACTTTATTGGGGCGGGGGGAAGTGTTGACGAAGATACAAGCCCTGGATGCTGATTCAGAAGGGCCACCAGAATGGCAGCCCCCAGGGAGCTTGTGCCACTGCTGCTATATAGCATATCCTGGAGTAAACATTTACTCAAGACTATTATCTGTCATCACCACAGCCTGTGCAGAGGTAATCGTTCCCCCTCCCTGCCCCCCCAGCACCAAAATTGAAAGTTATGCGTCTCGGATCCTAAAAGCCCTGATCTTCCCTTTTTCTATTCTGGCTTGACACTCCAAAGCTTTTAAGCACATATTGAAGTTCAACAATTTGGACAGAATCCTGTTTCTCTTTATATGCTGAAATGGAACTTAACTAGTTTTTGGCCTATTCTATCCTATTCCATTTACCTTCAAAGCTATTAAGCTGCTTGTCCTAGACTCAAATAATTCATCTCTCTGGATGAACTTTTGTCCAGGGATCTTAGTTTGACAGATTTGGAAAAAAAAACAGGAAAAAAAGAAAAAAAAATCACTAAAACACTGACAGTGGGACACTGATATCTATTCTATTCTACATGTGCTATTAATTCAAAGTAGGCTTACCTGGGAGCACATCTACACATGTTCCCTTTTGGGAGGAGATTTGCTCTGCCCCCCTGCAGCAGCCAGTGGGAGGTCCAAGTTCCCCTTGGGTGCTAAGCTGGGGGATGGCAGGGAGCATGGGGCTGGTTCCCACATGCACGGGGCCAGAAGAGCTCTGACAGCTGCAGCAGCAGCTGTCTCCTCACCTTGTACATACTTGGAGGGGGCCTGATGTGCAGGACTGGGAGACAGCTGCTGCTGCCGAGCTCTCCCACACTGTGCACATGAGGACAAGCCCTGTGCCCAGCAGGGCTTCCCATGCAGCCTGGCACTGGCCAGGAACTGTCCCATTCTGGGTCAGGTCCCAGCCAACTCTGGGCTATGTGGAGATTTCCCTGCCCAGCCTAGAGGAACCTGCCCCATTTTGGGGAAATTCTTAGGCCACCTGGAGCTGACTGGGATCTACCCCGGAATGCAAAAGTTCCCAGCCAGTTCCGGGTAGGGAACTGCTTGTGCAACCCGGAGCTGGTTGGGACCTGTCCAGGAATGGGACAGTTTCTGGCCAGCTCCAGGCTGGGCAGGGAACTCCTCATGCAGCCCAGAATGGGGCAGTTCCCAACTAGCTGCAGACTGGGTGCAGAAATCTTCATGAAGTGCAGAGCTAGTTGGAACCTGCCCCAGAACGGGCAGGCCCTAGGCTAGCTCTGGGCTGTGCAGGGAACTATTTGTGCAGTCCACAGCTGGCTGGGACCTGCCCCAGAATGGGACAGTTCCCAGCCATCCCTGGGCTGTGTGGGGAACTCCTTGGGCAGCCCAGAGCTGGCTGGGACCTGCCCCAGAAGCAGGATAGTTCCCAGGCAACTCCAGACTGGGTGGGGAGATGGAATTCCTTAGTTCCAGTGCTACTTGGCTCCCAGCTCCTGTGGGAGGGTGGGGACAGAGAGCTTTCTTCTGGTGCTGCTCAGTTCCTAGCTCCTTGGGGGAATTCCATGTTCTTTGTGAACCCCTAGGGTAGGGGCTGACTGAGAGCAAATTTGCTCCCGTCCAGCATTTAAATGTGCCCTACTGCACAGTAAGTTTACTAATTGTATTTATGACTAGTAACTAACTGTGCAGTAGACTAATTTACTGCACAGTAAATGTGTGCATGTGTAGATGGTATAAATATCAGCATTCTACTGCATAACCTGGAGTAACCATTTGCTTAAGACTTATCTGCCTTCCTATGAGCAAGGTGCTAGAATAATTGTCTATATTGGACGCATCTACACATGACATTGTCACCGTAGGTAGGCACAAACTGTGGCACCATTGCTACTGTGCAGTAGTTTGTTGCTCCTGCGCAATAAGGTTAGGAACGACCCATGCGCCATCAGTACTAAACAAGTACTAAATGACTGCACAGTAACACCTGCACAATTGGGCACACATGTAGATGCGCCCTTTATGTAGTTACCCTGGAACAGGTGCATATCTTTCCATACCTGATCCCAGTGTAATTTATATTGGTATACAAAAGCACTGAAAGTTATACAGATGTATATCCATTGTCTGTGCAGGGCTTAAATGTAGATTTCTGAAGATAAAAGTTACTTCTTGGAACTTTTACTGCTTGCAGTTTTTCATATTCATGTAAATTGTTTACTAATTTATGTACTTATTTAGTCTCTCAAATATACACTCTGTTCCAGCAGTTTCTTCACAAAAGCCTCTTAGTTTCACATGCTCTCGCCAACACCTTGATTGGTTAAGGCTTTCATTGTGAGTCTTAGTGAGTCATTCATTGAACTTCAAAAAGAAATTAAAAGTCACCCTATATTCAGACTTATGAAGCATCTAAAATGGTTTAGCCAATTTACTGATTATGTAACTAATTAGCATTGAATTTACTCTTTGTTTTCTTTGGATAATTTGGGATAGAAAGATAAATTATCTTAGATATGAGAATATCTAAAAATTTGGTTCATTCTCAGTCTTTGGGAGGAAGCTTTGTTATAGAAATCTAAAACCTTTCAATATTATTGAATATGCGACCTATAAAGTCTTTCTTCTTGTATTGGTTAAGTATTTCCAGTATTATAAAATATTTTCATTTACTGTTAAATGATTCAGAAACCTCTCCCTTACGTTTTGCAGTGTTTTGGTATGGCACAAACAACTTAGGAAAAACTCTATATACCTACTTTATGTGCCATGGTCTACTGTCAAGTATGATTGCTCTCTAAAAATTATTTCTCCCATCTGCAATTCTGATCCTCAGCTTTCTGGAAGGATTAAGCTCTTTCCTGTTATTCTTTTCAGATATTCTTCAATGCCAACACATGAATTTCTTACGTTCCAGTTAGTATGATTTAGCAAAAATGTTTGACACTACTTTTTTTTTCATCTTGAGGTTTCTTAATGTAATATGATTTTCTTGATTAATGGGTATTTTATTAAGTTGATGAACTTTTGAAACAAAATAATTACATTTCAATGTTACAATGAAAGAGTTTACATTGCAAGTAAAAGTATAGCATTGAAATGACCAGGCATGAGGCTTAAATAGCAGGAGATCTACTGAAATATTTGTGATTTAAAGGGACATTGCCAACTTGATCTTTTTAGTTGACTAGTTTCTAAATATTACAGTTCCTGAGAGGTCAGTCTCTAAATACATTGAGACTTTAACAAAATATTCTTTAAAATATAAGGATGGTACCAAGGGTCTCTTTAGCCAGGGAGAAGCTAACTGATATATAAAGAGAGAGAGAGAGGTAATAAGCTATGTTAGTCTGAAGTCAGGTAGAAGGTGCCACTCTGCCCTGCCTTCTGTGTGATCAGAGGAAAGTTGGGCTATGAAGGATTTCATGAGGTCATGTAGTCCAGCCCTCTGCCCAAGTCCCTCACTAAAAAACATGTCTATCTAATCTGCTCTTGGAAACTTCCAAGGTTGGAGACTATATATAAGAGCAACAATGGAATTTACTGAACAAATTGTGGATAAATATGGAAAGCAAACATAATGGAAAAAAGGCTGACTTGTAGTTCAATGGGCAATCAATTATTTTAATGCTATTTCTCTTTGTTAATGTACTGTATCAACTATAATCCTTGCCTACTCTGTTTGTTAGCTGAATACTGCCCCTGGCTGTTATATGTTGTGATAAATCTCTCCTTTAAAACTCCAGTTTGCAAACATAAATTGTCCGTTCACTGTGGAATGATGCCTTTGTATTTATTTTAGTGCTTATTGATTTCATTTGAATGAGGATGTGTGCTGAATTGTGTTAGATCTCCACATTTATCATATTTTTATCATTAAAGTTGAGACACAATTTGGAACACTACAGTCCTTCCATAAGATAAGCAGAAACCTAGCATGCTTTTTATATTAAATTTATCTTATCATAGAAATTTGGATTTTTATTAGTAACGAACATAAGCCAGAACAGCTAAGTAGATTCTAAAATGGAATGCCCACATGCCTTATGTGGCAAATGTAGGAAGCTAAATATGAAATTCCAGTAATCAAATAAGATATTGAACTATGCATATCTATAAATATTTAAACACGATTATCTGCATCCTTCAACAAACACTTCAGTCCCTGATTTTTCAGTAAATGCAAGGCCTCTGCTCAGAATTCACTGGGAGATGGTGTCACAAGATAATATATGGCTTCCTGGAAACCTTTTGCTTCAGGAAATCCTATTATCTCATGATAAACAGTAATTTATGTCATTAGCCTGGTTAATAACAATGCAGATTAATAGGTTTATTTTAGAATAAGCAGATTTTTAACTTCTTTTTGCCTTTCGTCTGGGTATGTCTTCACTGAATACTTGAAGGAAGAGTCCAGACAGCCTGCATGACATTCAAAGTACCTCTACAAATTTTGTTCCACTAAACAAAAAGTATGCCTTTGTACTGATAGAGACTCCTGTTTTGGTTCAGGATGATAGAATATATGTTTCACATCCAGACTTACTAACAAGAGTGTGAATTATTATAAACTATCATGCTTTGTTTGTATTTGATGTGGATGCTTATCAACTAGGAGTTGGTTAATTAAGTTCGTATAGTAGAGTATTGAGATCTGGAAGTATGAACTGATGAAAAATGAGAATTTGGTTGTTCTGAAGCTGATGCATTGGTGATGGTCAAAGAGAGTGAGTTCAGGGTCAAGTTGGGGCAGCATCTAGGCAAGACTGGGTTATGTGAGTGGCCATCTGGAAAAAGAGAAAGCAAAAGAGAAGTCAGGGTAAGGATGCAGGTGGTGATAGGGAAGCTGAAACTGCTGATGGTAAGATTTTGCATGAGAGGGACGTCATAAGAGTTGCAACAAGAGAGATGGTAGATGAAGAACCTAGAGAGCAGGCAGTGAGCAACATGGAGAAAGAGAACAATCTC